CCTTCCTTCTCTTGGACTCTTTACATGGGACAGTTTAGCCTTCATGAATCCAAAGAGTCGTGCTCTCCACAAATATAAAAATGAATATCCAAAAAGTATTCCATGGTGTTTTCTGACGGAGAAAATGAATGTTTGTTGTCCACAGCTGATGTCAAATGTATCAGACTTCTTTCTGCAGATTGATATGACTGCACAAAGTCACTTGATCATCCTTAGCAACGATCTGTTCTCCTTAGCAGCAGCCTGTTGGCGAGAATTAACAACCTCTGAAATGTCCAAATTGACCAATCAGAATGAGTATTCAACTAAGTTGTTTAATAAGGAACCACATTATGTCACCAATGTGATTGAAACTTCTGGAGCAATGGAGACGAAACTCAGAGAGACACAGGGAGAGCTGGAGCTTGGTTTCAAACACTGATGGTTTATTATGAAGTTAAGGCCGGAGAATTGACCAGACATGATGACATAGCGGTTGCCAAACCAATTCTGAAGATCTCTACCCCAGACCCATGTATTTAGCTAGTTCTGAGATAATAATCAACATTGTGCATAACAAGATAAAACAGGCAAAGCACTATACCACCTCTATCAGCTGACGCCAACAGGCAAGAATAAGGACACACAGGGTTCTTACGGTCATTAAAAACCTGGAAAAGTCATGGAAATTCAAAATGCTAATTCCAGGCCCTGGAAAAGTTATGGAAAACAATATTTTTCCCAAGGTTTTGGAAAAGTCATGGAAATGTAACTAAAGTTGCATCAAATATAATTTATATTTTAGCTAATCGCCAAAATAGTAATACTATAATGATAATAAATACTGTATCGTATAGTAATGAAACGTAAAATGGCATTTAACTGATGAGGTATTTTGATGGTGAGAGATTTTAGTTGCTTTAGCGTGTAGAAGCTAGTAAGCCAACTATTTGATTTGTTTTAGATAGGCACAACATGTTTCAGACCTTATTTTCCTGTTCCATGTTAAAATAAACCATTTTCAGTGGTACTGCTGAGAAAGAGTAATTTCTTTGGTCATGGAAAATTAGGTAAAGGTCATGGAAAAGTAATTGAAAATCATTGGTGAAAAAGTGTATGAACCCTGGACACAAAACACTGAGAGCACAGCAGCCAAGGTCGCAGGCCTGAGCTCACTGAGGGCAGTACAAAATGATAAACTGGACCAAGGTGTCGAATAATCGATTAATATTCGCCAGGGCTGTCCGATTTTCGATTTTGATCATGGTCAGTTTCTGGCATCCCTAGTATTGACCACAGGACTTATTTCGGGCATCTAAGCAAGACGAGATGAGGGAACCTGTTAAAAAATGCTGACCTACCTCTTTGGTTTATGATTGTTATGACTATAGTACAGAAAGAAACAATTAGAGCTATTATTTTCACTCGTAGTAAAAAGATAATTGTGAAAATATATTTGTAGGGTCTGTAAAGCAGACAGCTGGTAGTACGCAACAGACTAAAGGTACCTAATGTTCCTGACATGCATTATCGCAGGTTGAACTCCGGCTCTTTCGAATGCCACTGTCCTTCTTTGTCCCCCTCCACTGTACACCCATCATAAAAATAATCCTAAAAAGACATCTGAGCCTAGGCGATAAAGTTCCAGCATAGCAACTGTTATTGCTGTTGTTGTTGGCTGCTGCATGCTTCAGGAGGAGGCGTGCATGAATGTCTCCATTACAGTTGTTCTGCATGCTGACAGCCTTCAGCCGTCACAGCCACCTGGCACGTCTCCACGCCCACGAGCACTAGTGGGCGGAAGCGGCATGTCTCCGACCGTAACCAGACCCAGCTCGACGAGCGGGACATTAACAGCTGCTCAGCAGGGTGTAAGAGAGGGGGCAGCGGGAGCATTTCTGTGTGTGTTGAGAGCACATGCCCACGTGTGTCCAGCTCAGACGAAGGACAGGTTGTCGGATTCACAGTTGACATCTTAATTGGCCACCGGTGCCAGATGCCAGCTTCTTAAGCTGACCAGTCCAGTGTCTCAGCAGAAGCCAGACTCCAGCAAGGGCTCCAGCGAGGGATCCCACGGGTATTAGGTGCTCCAGCCTCCCTTCCTCTCTCACACACACACACTCACATACACACACCCTTTTTCTTCTCCCTCCATCCTCTCTGAGTCATTGTCAACACCAGTCACTCTGAGGCGAATTCAGACGTAGAAAAGCCTGTGGGTAACAAAGGCCTGGGCGTCTTTGTGCGGGATCTATTCAAAACCAGGTCTGGCTTTTCTGCCATTTCATCCATGTTTGGATTGAGATCCCTCCGCCCCCCTCATTTATAGTGTATTGTTGTCCTGTTAATGTCCTGTTAATGTCCAGTCAGCGATCAAATAACTGTAGCCTTACCGTCTAACTACCAACCCATGACCCTCACCTCCTCACCCTTTCACTCTCGTAACATGACGCTTTTCCCAGAAGAGGAAACAAGGTTGGATACATCTATTCAAGTGAAGCACAGGAACATGTACTTGGCCACATGATGGTACACTTATTGATTTTTTTGTTTGGCCCTGAAGATGTCAGAGTTTAAAAGGTAAAGTCACTTATTTGAAGAGGACATATTATACTCATTTCCAGGTTCATATTTGTATTTAGTTCCTCTAGAGTCTACTGGGACATGTCTCCATGCTTTAATATTCAAAAAGCTCTTTATTTTTCTCATCCTGCCTGTGCTGCAGCACCTCTTTTCACCCTCTGTCTGAAACCAGAGCCCAGACTGCTCTGATTGGTTAGCTGGCCGGCTCTGTTGTGATTGGTCAACCACTTAGAGATGACCCACTCCCTGGTACTCTTTTACTTGATTCAAAGTAGCAATACAACAGTGTAAAAATACCCTGTTACGTAAAAGTCCTGCATTCAAAGTATTACTAAAGTAACAATGTTTGATTAGCATGAAAATACACTTAAAGTACCAAAAGTACTTTTTATTTAGTAGGGCCAATTTCAGAATCGTATATATTTAAAATATATTAAATGATTGTATTACATTTATTAATGCATGCAATGTGTACATAACTTTTTATGTTTGCAGCTGGGTAGTTTAATATATAATACAGTTTAATTAAATCATTTATTAGTTGGTTTGTATTTTGTATTAATAAATGAAATCTGCAAAATCAGTAGTAACTAATGCAGTAAAAAAATTAAGCAGAGTTAAAAGTGCAACATTTTCCCACATAATGAAATGAAGTCAAAGTATATAAATGAACATAATGTGAAAAAACGTTTTACTTAAGTACGGTACTTGCGGAAATGTACTTGCTTACATTCCCCCACTGCTAAGGACCACCATTTTCTAAGCCCGCCTTCATTTGGATCTCAACTACACATTTGTGAAGATTCATTACTGCATGGACCATACATGTCAGAAACATCTTTACCCGGTGACATCCCGTCTGCGATCAAATAACTGTAGCCTTACGATCTAGCTACCGACCTCTGACCCTCGCCTCTTCACCCTTGACCCTGGTTACAGGACACCTTTCTCAGAAGAGAAACCAGGCTGGATATGTCAATTAGAGTCCGTCTAAAACACAGAGGCATGTACTCGGCCATATGAGGGTACATTTATTTGATCTAAAAAGGGAGCGCACAGACACTTCAGTCTGCGGTTAAATGAGGAGAGTGAGAGGGAAGGTAGGAGACTGATATTAAAGTGGAATCTGATTTAGCTAAGAGAGGTGGTATTGCAGCGTGAAATAGGCTGCTAACAAAATGATTAACTGATATTCCTGTATGACATTATTCTTAAACCTTGGTGTGAAGAAGGAAAGGGTTTTTTATGTTTGAATCAAATGGAAATCTCAGTTTAGTCTCTCACAACGCACTGCTACTTCTGACAAGGACGGAACAGTGTCTTTGTCAGGTTTCATTTAACCTGGAGATGTAGCAGAGATGTCAAATGGGAAACAGCTGAGTGCCATCAAAGCATATACTGTAGTAGTTTTGCGGTGTGTCAAATGTTGACCAGTATTTAAACATGGTGGTTGGAGGTGTTGGTGTTTTTGCTCCTGGTATTTTTCTTTCTTTCTGCCCATTTACACTTAAGACTGTTTACAAGTATGTCATTCTTTCTAGTCCTTTTAATAGCAGCTCCAGCACAGGGTTATTTGTGTCAACTAAAAGTAAATTATAATTTTGGTAAACAAAAACTCATAAAACTAAACTAAACTGAAACCTTATTGCCTGGTAAAAAAAAACGAATAATATACATTACATAAACGTACTCAAAACATACATTTATTACTTTTTGGGTTTTGCTACGATGTCTCACTACCGAAAAAAGTAGACGGCAAAGAATTTCTGTATACATTTGTGAAATTAAAACACAGAAACTTGACATTGGAGATGGCGTTATGTTGGAATTTCTTCACACAGATGCTAAATGAACATTTCTACACAGTTCTCCAACCATGTCTTTTGTATGTTAATGTAGCTGAATAGGTCCAAGTAAATATATCCTACCCGAAGAAACTACTCCGATTGAATATGTAAATCTAAACCTTTCCCAAATCCAAAAAAAAATTAAAACTAGCAAAAGCGCTAAAGTGAGATGTGTGATTGTTGTCTTGAAAAATCTAATACAAATATTTCTGAGGAACAAACTAGCAAAAACTAACTTAAACTAAACTAAAATCAAAAAGTCAGAATTAATAAAAATATCTAAACTGCTATAACCTTGCTCCAGATATCATATTTTATTTATTTAACATTTAAATCGTATATTGCTCCTGGTTTTTATTTGCACGATTGTGTCCCTGGCACTATTTTCTGTCTTTTTGCCATTTATGTTGCATTGTTGGAGGAGCTTGGGACTTCAGATTTCCTTAGCAACAACTAGCTCTTGTACATTTGACCAGAAAACCTTTGAATCTGGTATTAGGAAAATCTCTGAAGGACATTTGTGATGATTCCTTCTATCCTGAAGCATTAAAGCAAAACTCACCTGTATCCATCCTCCTCTCTCCCCTCCAGAACGAGCCATTGCCAGACACGAGGTGCGTGAGATCGAGCAGCGGCACACGCAGGACGGCGTGCGGGAGCGGGACTCTGCGGCCTCTTCGCCGTCGGAGGGCGAAGACGACCTCGTCATCATTTACAACCGCGTGCCCAAGACGGCCAGCACATCCTTCACCAACATCGCCTACGACCTGTGTGGGAAGAACCACTACCACGTCCTGCACATCAACACCACCAAGAACAACCCCGTCATGTCCATACAGGACCAGGTCAGAGACACGCCCCGCTGTAGGGAGGTCCTCAACTAACAACATTCTTACTCCACGAACAGTGGACAGATCTTTGTAATTTACGCTGGGGACATTACCTTACCTCTTGTTAAAACATTTCTGAAAAATAGCGTGCACAAAGAAATGAAATAAATGAGACACAGGTCATTTGCACAAAAGATCATGTCAAACCTCAATAACAGTTTGTCCGTAGACACTGTGTATGTATTCCTGGGGATCCAATTGGTGCAACTTGGTCATGTAACCGGTTAAGATGAGTAAACTTTGATTACAAACTAGGAAAGCAAACATCGTTCCCTCTTTTCAGTGCATTACTAGATTATTAAGCGTGGGGCCGCAAATATTATTTTTCTTTTGTCTGAAAAAAGTGTCTCCACCACACAAAACAAAGTGAAGCCCATGCAAATGTCTCGTTTACCAGAAATGAGCTCATTAATGTCTTTGAAATTAGTCATTCAGGAAGAACAAAAAGCATATAATCGACAAATCAACTCAAGAACTCTTATTTTACTAAGACCAAAACAACCATCGACTAAAAAGGAGCAGCTCTAGCAACAGGTTTCTTTAACATACTTTTTTATTATTTAAATTGATGTTGAGGTTTGCATTACAACGAATGTGGTCCAAGGGCCGGTTTGGAGTGCTTTATTGTGAACCACTTTTTAGTGTTCCCACTGCAGCAGCGCTGGCTCTTGACACAGTAAATGAAGACTAGAAGACTTGATTAGAAGACTTCTGTTTCAGAAGCAGTAGTGCCAAGATTGCAAAATGGCTAGACACACATCAAAACGTGGGGGAAAACATGAACCAGGCATACGTCTAACACAGGTGTGGGGAACCTTTTTCCTTTCAAGGGCCATTTCAATTTTTACAACATCCTCCGAGGGCCGTACAAATGATTGACCTCTGCTTAAAAATACTAAAATCACAGCCCATTCATTTTGCCTTTCTTTCATGCTGTGCAAAGAAAAAGCAACCTCTTAATCCAGATATCTTACCATGACTCGCGCATGCATTCACGTGCACGGTTGTGGCATGACCACCAAAACAGAAAGATATGGACACAAGATGTGTGCAGATTTTTTTTTTTTAAAGTTGAAGTTAAAGCATCAATCTGGTGCACTTTGAGAGCAACATTAGGAGATCTATGGATACATCTCTCAACACCCATATGAAACAGAACTGTAAGCAGATTTTATTTTTCTTTATGGATATTTTACAAATCACTCTCCTTTCAAACTGTATTCTTGTTTATTAAAAACAACTTTATTTTACTGTCATATAGTATTTTATACCTGTTTACTTTATTCTCTTGTTTTTTTATAACTATAATGATCATATAAAGATGTGCCTTTACCTCACTGGTTGTAGAAAAAGCTTCTTATATTCGTTAGCATAGCTAGCTAACCAGATGCTAATAACAACAAAGTTATTGACTGTATGATCAGTATGACAGATGAACAGATCGCCAATCGGCTTAAAACTAAAGACACAGCCACGCAAAAACTGCGGCATGTGTACGGCTCCTTATGGGTACTGCAGTTTGTGGAAGTGCCGGTCGGAGCGGCGTTCTGGTGCTCTCCGGCAGAACTACACCCCTGGCAGACGAGACATATACCACGTGATGACACGTTAGGCTCGTGTTGTGTTCAAGGACCCTTACCCGTGGCCAGGAAAAACAGGCACTCGCTTGTTTAATTTTTTTGCGGTCTAGATTTCTTAAATGTTTTTCTTTTTTGCGTGTGTTTATAAATTACCTCGAGGGCTGTACCAAATGGTCTCGCGGGCCATACCATTTGGTTCCCCACCCCTGGTCTAACATAACTTATTATTCCCCATACTTTGAATAACAACCAGTTTGCTGAATAATTGATCTGCCATACCTGTGCCTCGTTATTGTTCCATGACTTGGAATTTGATATATTGTTGGCTTTAAATCTTTTAATTGATAAGTCAGACTAGTTTTAGTGGCTAGGCAAACTTCATCCATGTAAGACAAGAGATACTTCACATTTTACAATCCATTATCTATGTTGTCAAAGGTGACGTCATGACTTGGCTCCTCCCACCTCTGGTCAGTGGAAAAGCAAACTGGTTCTTTAGTGGTTTGCAAGTTGGACCACCTGCGAACCAAACTAGCTGCAGCACAGAATTAGAACGGAACTCAAAATATATTTTATCCACTGCAATGACAATTTGTATTTGTTCCAGATGCGGTTTGTAAAGAATGTGACTGAGTGGAGAGAAATGAAGCCGGCCTTCTACCACGGACACGTCTCCTTCCTGGACTTCACAAAGTAAATACTTTATCTTGCAATATAACAACAACAGTTAAAAACAGTTAATCAACCCTGCTGTGGTTTTGTGTAGGGTCTCCCCCTTGTGGTCATTCACGTCTTTGCCCGTCTTTTATGGCTTTTTTTGTTCGTAAGGAATTTGAATTTATAAATCAGTCTACGATTGACAAAAAAAACTAAAATTACAACCAAGAAAAAAGGAAATGTAATCTGTTGACGGCATAACAGAGCTGAAAGAATGCGAGGATTAGAATACAACTGGTGCTCTTTTACCTGAAACCCATTCTACTTTGGGTTGATAAACTAAATTCATCTTTTCCAACATCTATTAAATATGTATGTCTTAAGTCTCCTAAAAAATATTAATTTCTCCATTAAGAAAAGGTTACGCCTCACATAAAACCAGTCTGCTAATGTCCTTGACTCCACCATTTTTGGAAATGACTTTTACTGGAGACCAGCGTTTTTCAAAAAAAAATGCTTTGATGCTTCCTACCCAGGTACTAGAACTGTACATGAGTGACTCGCCCCATGTTAGCTTGAATTCTGGGGGGGAATGTTGTCTTTTGCGTTCCCTTTACATACAACAAAGAATCAAAAAATCTTCATGAATGAAAGTAAATGGAAGCCATCTTTAACATCAAAACATCGTTTACAACCTCTCACACAACCCATGCAGTATGAACCACGTCTAATTTATTCGTATGTCATAAGCTAACTAGTTCCAATAACAAATGTATTTTGACTAAAACGGCACTATTTAAAACACTTAATAAAAGAGTCTCACACTGGCGCAGATGGCTACCCGTCTGGACGATTCCAAAGTGTACTCAGTAATGAGCCCATCACTTGATAAATGACACTTGGATAATAGTTCACAAGTTTGATACACTGCTGCTGTTAAATCCAACCCAATGTTACTTTAATTTATCAAATACGTCTCAGCTTTTTGACCCTTAACTCAGTGTGCGGGTACGCGAGAAAGGGTTTTACTTTTAAAGGGGCCCTATTGTGCCTTTTGGGGTTTTGCCTCTCCTGTAGTGTGTTATATTGTTTTGTTTGCATGTAAACGGTCGGAAAAGGCTAAAATCCCAAAACTCTGGTTTCAGACAGAGGGTGAAAAGAGGTGCTGCAGCACAGGCAGTATGAGAAAAATAAAGAGCTTTTTGAAGCATGGAAACATGTCACAGTTGAGGCACAAAATACAAATATGAACCTGAAAATGAAAACAATAGGGCCCCTTTAAGAATTTACCATAACACAGGGTGAGCAATGTACATAATCATTTCAACTTGTTCTATCTGATAGTTTCTGAATAGTGGCTAACCACAAAACATTCCCGGAGAACATGGGATTGATTTTTCTCTGTCTCACAGCCTCTCTAGCATGCTTCAGTTGGGCTAATTCACACTTTCACAGTGTCGTGTATAAATATCTGAATGTACAGTAGCACTGATCCTCCGACTTCAGCATGTTTTTTAAAAAAAAAATGGTGTTGAACTCTTTTAAATCTGCAAACTCTGGATCTTTATAAGTTAGCTTTATAGTTGGATCAGTCCTGTTGCATGTGTGTAATCCCTAATGTAAATGATTTCAGGTTTGGAGTGAAGAGGAAGCCCATCTACATAAACGTGATCCGGGACCCCATAGAGAGGCTGGTGTCGTATTACTACTTCCTGCGTTTTGGGGATGACTACAGGCCCGGCTTGAGGCGCAGGAAACAAGGAGACAAGAAGGTAAACATCCATCCATACTCTTATTGTTTTGTTTCAAAAGATTTACAACTTTCAATCGTTAATACTGACCAATTAAAATATCACGTTTTAATTTTTTGCGTGTTTTCTCTTGGTTTGTGCTTCAGACATTTGATGAATGTGTGTCAGCCGGCGGCTCAGACTGTGCCCCTGAGAAGCTCTGGCTGCAGATTCCCTTTTTCTGTGGTCACTACTCTGAATGCTGGTGAGTGTTCAAACATCAGTCTGAGTATAGTCTTGTTTTTAAAATGACAGAAATCATGCTTTTTTCTGATTGCAAGCAAGCTAAACCTTATTTCTATAGCACATTTCTAACCAGGTTTAAGCATCGTGTGCTGAACAACCTGTGAGAAACCACGTTAGTTGAGTCCAAAACATTTAATAAAATAAAAACAGTTGTAATATAATATACGGCATGTGAGTTAAACCAATAAAAGAAGCATGTGTCAAATAAAATAACAGTTTTATGTTCGATCAAATCCGATGATTCATGTTTCTACTTTTCTTCTCACTAGTGCACATCCATGGCTGAAAATAGTCCCTAACATAGCATTCTGTAAAAATGAAACTTTATTCTTGGTGTTTTGAAATTCCCTAAGTTTGAAGGACTGGCCAAGGAGTCATGTGCCACAGATAAGCCTGTAGACACCAGGGGTGTTTTTCTTTACTTGCACAACAATATAAATGTTCTTACTGTTGTTATTGTCATAATGCTTTCACACAGAACAAATAATACGCTAAGACAATGGTCATTTGAGTGAGTGGTAAAATGCTGACTAATACCCGGGTTTAGGGACTCATTCCTGCACCACTTCATAATACAACTTACAGTAGCTTAGGATATACAACAATTGACCTTTACTTACTTAGTTTTACCTAGAATTGAAAAGTCAAAATTTGCATCGCTGCCGGTTAAAATGGTTTTGATGAGAAATATTTGCAGGCAATGGTCACCTGAGGCAGATCAGATGCTGTATTAGTTTTCTTTCATTATGCAGCACATTAAACCTCATCGTCCTTCTCTATCACTTCTGCTCCCCTCATCCTCTCAAGGTCTCTGTAGCACTCTTAGCCTCCATCCTTCTCTCTCCATGATGATCTGTATCAATTTCGCTCTGCCCTCACTGATCCCTCTTAGCCTCTCTCATCTGTCCTTCACTCTGCCCTCTTACTTTTTACCATCCACACTCTTGACGCAGAGTACCAACTGAAGGTCTTAGGATTGACTTCAGTCTGGTGCACTAACCTACGGTGGCCGACCCGTGCAAACGCGCTACAACAACGCAAAATATACTGCACTTTCATAAACGATGCAAATCTAAAAACACAAATGTGCCAAAAACAAGCAAATGAAGAAACATCTTCACCAACTTTTAGAAAAAAATTCCAGAGCACTTGTTGCCTTTCGGGATTAGAAACTTGGCTAACTCGTGTTTTGTCAGTATATTTGATATGACTAGGTTCGCTACGTTAGCTAGCTTATGCCAATAAAAGTTTTTTTTTATTGGCATATTTTTAGGTAAGTATCCAGTGACAGTGATTGTTGGCCAACTTTGTAATGCCTGAACTTCACCAAGCGTTTCGGTCCCAGCTGTGTGCGTCACTTTGAAGTTTCCCCGTTTGCGTTGTGTTTTGAGCGTCTTGCAGTGTTTTGTATTTGCAGCTTTTGGTTTGTGCAGCTTAGTAACCGCTGCACATGATTCATCAAGTTGGTGAATGTTTCTAAATGCTGCGCATGTGTTATCAAGTGGGTGAAGATGTTTCTTCATTTGCGTTTTGGCACATTTGTGTTTTTATATATGCATCGTTTCTGAAGGTGGAGCACGGTTTCTTTAATGGAAGTGTTTTGGGCAATTGTAGCGTTTGCACCTGCCGGCCCCCGTTAAAGGCAGCAGAAAGCACCTTGGAAACATGCAATAAACACTAAAGATCAAAATGTCCTGTAATGCTGTGTTTAACTAGGCTCTGCCAAACAGTCACTTTATAGGTTTAAACAATGGACTTCCTTCCCTATCATTTCATTTCCTGACCAGGACAACACCTGCCGCAGATTCATTTATTTTCCACTCCTTCCTGTCTTTCTCCTCTGTCTTCTGCTCCTCTCACTTCATTATTTTTCCTCTCACTGTTTTTTCTTTCAGTTCACTAGGGCTGCACTGAATATTTGGAAACGTTGAAGCTTTATTCATAACTTTGACGATCAAATTCTTAATCAACATTCAAAATGGTTTTCAGTTCTTTTATTTTGCATCTCTATTTATTTTACACCAAGGCAAATTCCTTGTGTGTGTAAACCTACTTGGCAATAAACCTGATTCTGATAGTGTTTTAAGCTGGTATTTCTGCATAGGATATGACTACATTCATATTACAAATATTATACTGTTTGTAGAATAAGATTCAGTGCTGACTAAGATTTGTGTATGTAACCCTAACCCAAATGTAAATACAAATAAAAATACACTGCAAAATAATTCTTCAACCCATATATTTTTGCCGTTTAGCCTTTCAAAAACAACATTTTCACTGCAGTCCAAAAAGCTGTTTGCTCTCCTGCTTCCCGGACAAAAGGAACGACACACTGATTCATATTTTTGAAAGACATTTGATTTTAATCAAAAAGAAAAGGCTAACCCGTTTATTATGATATATCATTATCTTAAAATGATGGAATTTAAGAAATGTATTCTAAGCTGTTGATGTCACAAAATATCACAGACATTCAAAGCTTCATTTGAAATCCTCAATAGAAGCTTTGAATGTGAAAAAAAAGCATTCACTTTTTCCTCCCACGCTCTCTCTGTCCTTTACAAACCTTGTAATCATTTCAGCAGAATTGCCATTATTTCAGCAGAATACAAAGCATCTAACCACATACAAACAACATGATGTGTTCAGGAACGTGGGCAGCCAGTGGGCTCTGGAGCAGGCCAAGTACAACCTGGTGAACGAGTACCTGCTGGTGGGAGTCACAGAGGAGCTGGAGGACTTTGTGATGATGCTGGAGGCTGCGCTGCCACGCTTCTTCAAAGGAGCCACGGAGCTCTACAAAACAGGTGCCATGTCTGATAAAGACCTAAAAACATTCGCTATCATATAAGCATGTTTTTGTTTCCCTCCCCCAATATTATAATACTCTTAAGAGCTTACTCACATTGCAGTCCTAAAGTGTGCTGTGGTTGCATTTGTGCAGTCTGAATTGGCCCTCTGAGAATTGAATCGTGATCAATATGCACTCATGCCTCTTGCTGATGTAGTTACAGATTAGTTAGAGCGAGTGCAGCCAGAATGAATAATGGAGAGCACAGAGGAATTAATGTGACGGTGATATAGATGTGCTATGAAGTATGATGTTCGTCTTTTTTAGAAGCAGATACACTAAAGTACTCAAGTTAATCAGGGATTTATTATTGTATTCGTTGAAAGTCTAAATCTCTTGTTATGAAGTCATGACTTACATTTTGCAGAGTTAAAGGGGCCCTAGTGTAGGAGAGAAAGGAACACAGGGATTTTAGCCTTTGCAGACCATTTACATGCACTAAAACCTATAGAACACACTACAGGAAAGGGAAACCCCAAAAAGCAAGAAAGAGCCCCATTAAAGATGGGCCTTAAAAAATATATAGAACAGATTGGACAGGTTTGAAAGATCTGCCCTTGGATTGAGTTATTTTGTAACTTCACCTGCACTGAGCCATGCGTTTGAATTTAAGTGTAAATGCAAGATATAACTTGTCACTCAAAGTATCCTGTACCAGTTTTTTACCCCATTATCCAATCCTTGAATTTTGCATGTTTCAGCCCAATTTTAATATGAGCAGTTATGAGCAAAAACACGATGCTATGTCAGACTCCGGTTTTCTGTGGGTTAACAATGACACTCCTTGGTTGTAGATACTTTTGACACCTGTAAATAGAGCCAATGATTTTTTGAAACCTTTTTCAAAATCCTTTATTTGTCCTTGATCGGGGAACTCTACAGCTCTACAGCAGCAAAAGTACAGTGAGTTGAAAGGCAAAAGAAAAAAGAGTAGACTTGCGTATCAAATACAAAGATAAGCACACGTATAAGTACTACACGGTAAAAAATAAGTAGCAGAATTCAGAAAAAGTAAGGTAACATATAAAAGTACTGACTGAGGCCGGTAACACTAACACATTGTAAATACATTGTAAAAGTAACAAAGTGTTTTTTGCACATGAGCAGTGAAAGGGAAAAACTACTACAAAATAAAAGTAATGCTGAATGACTTGCACCTGCACCACTTTAATCCTCCTCTCCTCTGTAATCCTCACAGGGAAGAAATCCCACCTGAGGAAGACGAGCGAGAAGAAGCCGCCCACGAAGGAGTCCATCGCCAAGCTGCAGCAGTCGGCCATCTGGAAGATGGAGAACGATTTCTACGAATTTGCACTGGAGCAGTTCCAGTTTGTCCGGGCACATGCTGTCAGGGAAAAGGACGGGGAGCTCTACCTGCTGGCACAGAACTTCTTCTACGAGAAGATCTACCCCAAAAACTGAAGAGTAGACGGACACATGGCAGATGTGCGGCCTGAGATGAAAAAGGACACATAAAGACTACGTGTGGCTGTCTGTAGAACATTCTATTGACAGCTCTGACACGTCTGTGCCAGCCAACTGGACTCGTGTTTCATCAGCAGGTTTGTTTTCCCAGCAGCCTCCACTCCCCCTCATGTCAAAGGTGGTTTGACGCGTCCGGGGACGGCCTGTCCAGCTCCGAAACATTTTCATCGGCTCTGTAATGTTTGGTTGTGTTTGGTTGTGTTTTAACTCTTTGCTAAGGTTGTCTTTTGTATGTAAAGACGGTGACATTATCCATGCCTCACCACTACTACTAACTTAAAGAGATTTGAAGTGTACGACTACTGTGCTGTATTATTGGACTTGAATGAGAACGTTTGAGGTTTTTATGAAATAAAAATCCTGTGACCATGGACTATTTACTGGGACACATACGTATGTTTTATACTGTACTTGATGCTGGGTGTAAATGTTCAGAGGCCTTTCCTCCGTAATGAAGAATATTATCGAGTGTATAAAAACACCTAGGTGAAGATGCTGCTGCTGTAAATACTTACTACTTTTCTCAGTCCTATTCATCTACTGACAGTTTTTCCATGATATGAAATCAAAACTGTTAACCATATTAAAATTACAGTTTGTACATTTCTTTCAAATTCTAAATTTAAGACTGCATTTTCTTTTGTCATTTTCATTGTAGAACCAGTTAAACATCTGCATCCACTTTGGCTGCAACTACTTTCATTATTTTTTAATCTGCTGATTATTTTCATAATTTATCAATTCAATGTTTGTTCTATACAATTTCAAAACATAGTGAAGAATTTCCATCCCATTTTTTGTAAGTCCAAAGTGATGTCTCTAAATGTTTTGTTGGTCTTAAAGCCAAAGATATTCACATATGAAGCTGACCACAGCATTTTTGCATGAAAAATTACTTTCGGGATTCATTTTAATTATGACGATAGATGCCCATAATTCTTCTGCCAGTAGATTTAGCAATCAGTCGACTGGTGTGTTGTGATTGCTCCATTAGTGTCCATCTGTATGTTAGTCTGACTCTTTAATATGCTGACATTTTGGGAAATGTGTTTTTTTGTTTTGTTATAAAATGTGGAAGGCTACAGGCTTTATGCTAAGCTAACCCTGCTACAGCATCAATACTCTCATCTTACTCTTAAAGTTGGGGTATGTAATTTTGGAGAAACCAGCTCGAGTGCGCTAGAATTTGAAAATACATAACCGGAAAAAATCTGCCACTTCCTTACAGAGCCCCTCCTCCAACACACACAAACGCGCACATGACCAATGAGGGCACGAGATAAGTTTGTGCACAGATGGAAGGCTGACAGGCAGGTAGGCCATCCAGTTATTTTAGCCGGGCCGGCTAAAATGATTGGTCGTGCTTTTTACAGTACTACGGCTTCCACAGATGACATTTTTTATGTATTTATTGTCAAAGCATTTCATATATTCATTGCTATCGGGATGTTAAGAGCATTCCATGGAATATAACAAAAAGTGTTTCTGAAATAAATTCATAAATAGATGCAAGTTTCCACATATAATATGGTGGAACGGTTGGTACTTTATTTATTTATTTCTTCCCTGAAGTTTGGATTTATTGCTGTTTTAGTGAAAAAGATTAGGGCCACATGTGAAAAAAACCACATGGCTGTTTTCATTTAATTGCCATCCTAACAATATATACTAACACTGCCAGAGATGCAGGTGTGTTTTTTTAATTAAATATTTATAATTTTCACAGCAGTAGAGGTAAAGACAAATAAAGCTGCTGTGTAAATGGAAGCTGGATTGTTTCAGCGCTGGTATCCTGCAGAGGGAGATAAAGAGCTGCGCCGGCTTCCAGCTGTGTGTGTGTGTTCTTCACCATTTTCATTAGTCTTTTTAATTTCTGATATGGTGATTAAAATAAGTTAAATGTGGAGTCATACTTAATTACATTTCACAGAAGGATGCCAACCTGAGTGTATACATCCCACATGATTTTATTATGGAAGTCACTACAGAGTACTTTTTTCAGTACTTTGGAGCCTCAGTTAGAGTGTAGTAGCTGTCCAGAAGGACTCAACACTAACCAAAATCAGAGATTCACGCTGCTGTATGAAAAATGTGTATTGTACCTTTTAATTTTTTCCCCCACAACTTTCTTAATTGAAACTTATAAGTCAATCAAGGAACAACAGTTTGGTAATATATTAAAAAGCTTATTTCTGGACATGTAATTATGAATACATATATTTAGTAAAAAACTAATAATACAAATTGTTTAAAATAAATAAAGATATGAACAGAATTGAAATAAATGACTGTAAGGTCATGACTAGTTGGCTTTTACAGCCTCATTGTATATTATAATTCAAATGTTTAAATGTTTGCGACAGTGATGTCGTTTTTTATAGGCCAACGTTAGCTTTTTACTTCTTGCGATTGCAATTACACTTCAAATATTATAAAAATATTAATAGTATGTGGATTATCCTCCTGAAAAAAACATGTAAGTATCATAAACGTGTGTTTGCCACAGATTATATTTTTTTGCAATATTCCAAAATCCATTGGCTTTTCGTCAAGGGAGCCATTGCAATCCTAGTTTACGGGATCGGGCTACACAAATACGGCCTCGCTAAATCTTAATGTCACAGGATTTAGTGTAAAACGGGACGCCTCCTAGTGCATTAGGATTCCTCTTATTCTTACAACCTCGTGGGATAATACGTCCCTGCCCAATAAAACTCAGTAATCATCTCGTTCATCGCAGCAATAATCATTAGGTTTATTACAGGTCATAACACTCCCACAGATCAATATAATGTTCATTCAACTAACAGCCGGTGAAATACAGAATACACTGTATTCTGTATTTGTATTCTGTATACACACATCTGCCTTCATGTGTCTTTCTGATGAAGGCAGACATTAACCAACCATATAGAGCAGCATTACACCGTCCACATCATATCTGTTTTTTACCCCCACACCACTGCAACCATTAACTCTAGGTTGTGTATACTGCTGCTGGTCCATATTGATCCAATCATGAAAGACAAAAGCATCATGACCTCTGGGGAGTGTCACTGTGTGGGGATTTTAACAGGAGAACATCGTTCATAAGTCTGCCCAACAAGGCCTCTGCCATTTTTATGATGTGGACAATGCTGAGTTTATGAGTGAGGAACCTCACCAATAAATATTTGAGACATGAGCCCAGAGAGAGCCCAGTCTCTGAGACGTATGGCTTGTGATGACTGTGTCCCTGAAGGTTATGTAATGCAGCAGTAAGTCTTCTCACTGGGCTGTGACATGTCTGACCCAGCCCCACTGAGGAGGCTTCAGTGTTTGTCCTGTGGTTTCTTCACAGCAGCTCCTTCTCATCTATCTGGCTCAGCAACTCAAAGTAAACTGTGACTACTTAAGTGTTTAATAAAGCTGCTGTGGTTTGCATTGCACCTCTGGATGTCAGCAATTTGTGACAGCATCTGCATTATCCTTTGGATTTAAATAGTATTTGTTGATCAATATTAAATAGATGACTGTCTGAAGTTCTTTATGGAATTAAAGGAGTGCCATCAAAAGAAAACATCTTTAAAACAATAATACAAAAAATTGGAAATATAAAGAAAAAACAAATATGAATAAAATAATAAAAATCAATAAAATAATAAAATAACAACATGTTGGAATATAGAAATAAAAAGCCACATGGTTTTTCCCGATTACTTTAGTTTAGTTTTTATAAGGATAAGGAAAAAGAAAGGAATTAAATTAAATAATAACCCTAACCCTGAAAAACAATAATACATTTCATAAATATAGAATAAAAAAACTATTCAAAAGAAAATTAATTAATTATGTATCACTTATGATTGAGCACTTTTTTTTTATACATGTATCATCACTTTTCTACTCTATTTTTATTAAATTAAGGGATGTAAATACTTATTCTCCTTTCACCTCTAATGAAATGCACAAAACTAAGAACTTATTTTACATCTGCAATGCGTTTGTGCGTTTTTTTATTAATTTTGTTTACATTTCAACTCCAAAATGAATCATTCTGAGTTTCTGACCAAGTATCCCTGTTTTTCCATGTGTGTGTTTACCCCGGGATGAGTCTGTGAGCATGAGGTAAGGCCAGCCTGTAAGCAGTGTGGATCACGTGTGTAGCTGTCCGGGCTGGAGCAGCAGCGGCGGCACTGCAGCTCCTCTGGGCGGACTCTCCTCTCTAACCACCGCCTCTTTCTCCAACTGCACTGGGACAGATTTATGCCTCAGCTTTTTTTATTTATGAACACCAGTCCACCCTCCGCCTTCAGGACGGTGTGACCGCGTCAATGAAGTGTGAAGACGACATGGGAAGGACCGTGTACCCGAGATGACCGAGGATTTGGTCCGAATAATCTTTTTGTCGCCAGAGAGGGAAACTTAAAACAAGGCTTGTTTTTGGACTTCCACCTCCCCTCCTCTCTCCCCGTAGGATTTGATTCAAAGGCGAAAACCAAGATGGCCGCCGACTCCGTGCAGGTAGGAAAAGTTGACAACTGTTGCGAAAAGTGCGCAAACTTGCTCCAGAGGTTAGACTAAAAGCTAGATAACTGTTTTGTGTATCTAAAGTTGAGTCGCTGTGGGGCGGGAAAGTTGTGTTAAAGTGTAGGTCCTGTGCTAGCCCCTAAAGGGGTGTCTGGGAATTATCCATGGATTGAGGCCTGGGAAACAATTATCCCAAGTTACTTTTCCTGAAATATTAAAAGTTGTTAAACCGGTGCTTTTGTGCGGAAGCAGCTGTGTTAATTAACGCTATGGCAATTGTTGTAAACAGTGTTAATGTTGCTGTAGCGATGAGTTAAATAATGGTTGTCGGACGTTTACTAACAGCTATGTAGCCTGACGTTAGGTTAACCTGCGTTACTTTTAAGTTAAAACAGTTTCCTCCGTGTATTAGCAAAGTGTTAGGACCACCGGTAACGATATATTTTCAATTTTTAATAAGATGCAGCGTAGTACAGTTAAAATGTTCCAGCTTTTCTAAAGACAAAGTCTTCACTGTTTTCTTGAAGTAAAGTTTTTTCAAACACGTTACAGACTATGCATTTACTAATAAGCTTAGGCTACAGTGTAAAATAAGTCTGAACATCTCTATTTTAAAATGTTAATTTATTAAAACGGCATATTAGAATAACAGTCATGCCTCATATTCTATGACTCACTGTTTAATGTGGTTTCACTTGAGTGACGTCAGATTTGAAATAAGTCTTTCTGACACAAACATAGTCCAAAGCAACTGACATGACAACTCCTCCACAACTTGAGCTTGTCAAGTTTGGACTGCTGTCAAGCATTAGCTTTAGCAACAACCTCTAGTTACTGAATGCATATCAAAGCTAGAACCAGGCTCACACACTATTATTCATATTTGCAGGGAGTATTGGAGGGAAAGTAGTTGCAGTAGTTACAGCAGATATCTAACACAGCAAGCTAACACTTTAAAGAAGTATTAGTTTAAATCTATCTTATTATTTGTATTCTCTAGTAGTAATTACCTGTTGCCATATCAGTGAAGCCTTTACTAGGCCAGATTAATCATAAGGCTTATCATTCTAACTGGGTGTTTGCTCTAATCAAACTACTTCTTAGTAATAACCTGCCCGGAAAGCTTAAAACGACATTTGGCACATAAGCTAACTCGTTTTTACATTGAGGTAGAAGCTCAAATGTTGTTTAATGTGCACTTTCCCTACTAAATAAATACATACATGCTTTATTGGTGATATACATAGGTAAAACACCCTGATTGACAATATGTTCTGCTCTGGGTTGATGCAATTTAATTAATCACAGTAGACCATATAAAACTGAGTCTGATAACGGTAAGCTAATGGCAAAACAGATGTAGGCTAGTCCAGTGGTTCACAAACTTTAACACAAATGTAACCACTGACCCCACTTGATTTATATTACAGAAAGTGTATGATACCTGTGACCTTTTATAGTATAAACTCTATCATTGTGCTACGTTTTGATGGCGCTAAAGAGAAAATAAGTTATTCCCCTTTTTGATGGGGCCCACAAAACCACTGGGCTAAACCGCCTGTTTCATTACAGGGAAGGACATAAATGGAGAAAAGTGACTTTTATTTGGGATCTTATCACATTATTGATAAGGCTTAAAATAAAACAATGAGGGCTGGCTGATGATGGTTGGCAAAACTCTTAACACATGCTTTGATTTAGAGTTGATAAACGATGATGCATAATTATTTCTAACAATCATTAGTAACCTTCCAACAACAGTATACATTTTATACATATGTTTTATATCCCTTTAGGTGCAAACCACCTTTCTCAGCTGCCTCAGTGTTTGCACTTTTCGGATTATGTATGTTGCCAATGACGTAGGATGCATAACAATAACAGAAGCCCCTATGTTGTATTCCTAAACCAGGTACACTGTAGTGCATTCATTTTATATTAGGCGATTACGACCACGTGTAAGTCAGGCTTTCTAAAAGATATATCTATGTTTAGCAGAGGTGGACCGAGCTGGCTAAACTTTAAAATATATCACCACGGTGGTTTATATGGAGTGGAACCAGATCTACTCGGCAGAGCAACAGGTGCTTCAGCGCATTTGATCGCTTGTTCTCCTTTGTGACATTGAAGCGTGGACACACAATAAATCTACTTGCTGTCCAGCTCCGAAATTACCAATAACATGGACCAGAAGTGCAAGACATTACCTACAGTTTATCTTGACATGGGATATGTGTCAGGATTGTGTGAAGGCTGCATTTGTAGGATTTGCGTTTATTAGCCTGTGTTGCTTTTTCTGATTGCACCAGGCTGTTGCCAGTGCTCTGCAGCCAGCTGTGGGGTAAGCCTGCCGGGTGTCAGGTTGTAGGTCGAGATAGGCCTCATGGAGAAAATGGCAATGGCTTGGCTTTTTAAAGCGCAAGTCTGGATAGTGGCTTCAAATTTTCCATTGTCCTATTGTCTGAATGAAAGCTCTTGTTGTTGGACTTGGAGCTTTCAGGCTTAAGGAGCAAGTTAACCTGCTTACACTTGAGGCTCAGACCTAATATTTGCTTTTACCTCACAGTTTCCTTTCATGTCTCGGGCACTAAAAGAGCTCTTTAACAAGTTCAACATGTGTGGCTAACAGTTGCCCTACCTTTTGTACAGACAGTTTTTTTTAATTCAGTTTCTAAGTATAGCTTTACATTTTGTTTTTATTTTGTGTGGATTAACAGTCCATATTCTATCGTTCTAAAAAAAAATCAAACACATTTCATTATCCTAATATTGATCATAACATTACATTACATTACATGTCATTTGTTAGACGCTTTTATCCAAAGCGACTAACATACATTCAGTACTGTGGACAATCCCCACAGGAGCAATTTGGGGTGAAGTGTCTTGCCCAGGGACACAACGACATGCTGACTGCAGTGGGACTCGAACTTGCCACCCCCTGATTCGAAGTCCAGCACACTATCCACTGAGCCTCAAACATGTAGCTAAAATATTTAGTCTCTTCATCTGTTGTGAGCAAGCTTTGAACATTTCACAGAGCCGCTAGCAGAGCCACACTGACAGGAACAAGCGCCCTCCATCCATCACAAACTGTATGCATTGTGCTATGAGTGGAAAACATTTGCTTACAATTCCTGCTTCACTCGTCTTTGAACCTAATAAGTCTTGAGTTTGCATCATTTCCTTGACAAGGCAAGCGTTTGAGCAGCGAGAAATGATAAGGGACTTACAGGTAAAATAACTACTTGAGGAAGTATTGCAGTTAGAGAAACAAGAGGTGAAACCAATTGTGAAAATTAGCTTCTGCTGGGATATGGTTTCTTCTTTTTGATCTCGTATTAAAACGCAGACCTTGTGGGTGTACTAGCTGATTTATTTCCATCTTATCTGATTGACCTTTCATGGGTTTCCTTGCATTGTTGCGCAGTAAAATAGGCCCTTTAGGGTGTCCTCATGTTGTCCTCATACAGCGCTGGGCAAATAGGGCTACAGTGCAAACAAGTACTTGCAGAGCATAATTTGAAGTAGAGAGCTGCTTTTCCCTACACACACACACACACATTATTCTTCCACGTCCAGGAGTTGTGACCTCCATTTTACCTATGAGTCATCCAGGAGCCTCAGGACCGGAATATGTGCAAACTATAGTTTCCTCTGAAGTGAGCACCTATAGATGAAGGTGGGTGATTTCACATGAGAGTATGACTCTGTCCATGGAAATCCCTTATTTTTTTACTTTTTTTAACCAATCCCCACCTTAAATCTATCAGTCAGATGTAGGATTTACTCCAGGTAACTGTTGTCATCCTGACGCAGATTGTCTTTATAATTCTTGATGAGAGTTAAAAGATTATGACCTAAGTGATAGCAACATAAAATGAAACTTGGCCTCTGCTCTAGATGAAGTGAATGTAATCTATTTTTGAGATAGATCTGCCACAAAAAGTTGATTAATCGATTAGCCAATTGTACAGCTGGGCAATATATCATTATATATATCAATATTGTGATATGAGACTAGACATTATCCTTTGGGTGATCTGGCATTACTGTCGTCTTTTCATGGTTTTAAAGGCTGCATTTCAGTAAAGTGATGTTATTTGTTGGATTAAGAATCAGAAATCTTTTGTTTGTCCCACATCAGGGGGAATTTTACACTGTTAAATTAAAGAGACAGTGCAGATAAAAGGCAAAAATAAAATGAGTAGACATACATATTTAATAAAGAGGCAAGCACAAGTTAATAAAATAATAAATCAAATAAGTACACATTTGTGAGAAACAGCCGCATCATAATAAAAAAGTAAATAATAAAGTAAATATATAAAAGTAGCCAAGTAGCAGCCAGTTATAACATTAAAACATTGTGTATATTGCACAAAGCAGTGTTATCTTGTAGACATTATATCCAAATTACTTATTATACTATTAAAATATCTCATTGTGTAAATATTTTATAAAAGCACCACTAGTCAACCCTACAATATCATTGCTGTTAGGGATGCTCCGATCGCCAATTTTGGGGGCGATCGCCGGAATCAGTATCGGCCGATACCGATCGAGTGGGCGGGGCCTATGGGGATCTTCCATTTAAAGTGATGTTTAAAACTCAGTTAATGGGGCTCATTCACTGGCGCTTCCACAAACAACAACCAACATAATTATTACATTCAAATGAATTACATTATTCAAGTTTACATTAACTTTGGATAATAACACGGGAGAAATGAGCGGAAGCGCTCTCTTTTCCTCTCTCCCCCTCTCTCTCTCTCCTGACAGCCTGTCAGTATCGTGTCATGCAGCTCACTGATCCAGTAATGAGTGACCCGACAGTAGGGGTGTTGAAAATAATCGTTTCTACGATGCATTGCGATGCGGACGTGGACGATTCGGTATCGATGCAGTGACGGAAGATAATGGATTATAGCGTAGTAACGTTGCTTCCTGATTTTCCGGCCGCGGCTTTACTATAACGTTTTTTTTTCTGTGAC